ATATATATTTTTTTTTTCATTATACTATAGTTCTTTATTGAATAAACAAACTAAAATTGTTATATTACTGATATGTTTAAAATTTGACGTTTTCAAATATTTTTAAGAGGGGAGGTGGAAACCCCCAGCCCCCCCATAATACGCCATTGACTCAATATGAAATGACCCCATCCTAAATTTTCAAAAGGTGTTAGGCCAAGACCAGACCTCAATATAGGGATCGGTGCCACTAATTGAAAACATTTAAGTACGGGTCGCACTTGGCTAGTTGCCAACAGTGAATTTAACAGTCGCAACTGTCAGCCACCAATCAACTATTGCGTGATCGAAACAATTCAACGCCATTGCATCGTGTATCCGTCAGCGACTGATAACTTTTGGTAGCAGGTAGCGTCGTAGAGATCACGTGACCGGTGTCGCCAGACGACAGCGCAGTCAGACCACTATTACCATTATTAGTAGCGATGCGATTCGAATTTCAGCTGCTTTCGGATTAAATTGGGGTGAGTAGGCAGTCTTGTGGCACAGAAAAGCTTAACACATAATTTGCACATTTGACATAAAATATTATCATATATTATTTTATTTGAACCCGTTAATTTTAATATTTATGTACAATTTAATTTACTAGTACAATCGAGTTATAGATATAAAATGTTGACTTAGGGTACTTGATACGTATACCTGTTTCAATGGAGAATTGACTTCACGCCGTCACTGGTGACAATCAGCAGCAAGAGTACCAAGTACTAGCTTCTGAACCTACTACGCGGTATTTCGTTTTATTTCATAATTTTATAATTATAATAATTTGTTACAATGAATGATTTGAAGTGGAATGGGAAGGAAAATGAGACGTCTCATGAGATATGGACTGACGTGCCATACTAAGAAGTGCAAGATTGGTTGCACCGAAATCTCTTTTCTAGGCCATCTTGTTGACTCTGAGGGCATCCACAAACAACCGGAAAAATTGGAGTGTATAAAAAACTTTACAGTACCAAAAAAAGTTAGGGACTTGCGTAGGTTTTTAGGCATGTGCAATTGGTATTGTCAGTTTGTGAATAACTATGCCAACATCATTGCCCCCTTAACAGACCGACTTGAACAGGGAGCGAAATGGTCATGGATGGATGTCTAACAGAAAGCCTTTGACTGTGTCAAAAGTGCCTTGTACGACTCACCTAAATTATCCCCACCCGATTACACCGAGCCTTTCTGTCTCCAGACTGATGCTAGCGAACTAGGTGCTGGCGCGGTACTTTTTCAAAGGAATGGCAGACCAGAAGAAAGACGCGTCATCGCTTATGCAAGCAAAAAGTTCTCGGATACACAGAAGCGATACGCCGCCGTGGAACGCGAGTGCTTGGTAATTATATGGGCCACGGACAAATTTAGACCATACCTTGAAGCGTGACCGTTTAAGCTATTCACAGATAACGCAGCATTAACTTGGTTTCACCGGGCAAAGAACAACAATTCAAAGTTAACGCGATGGTCTCTTCAACTCGCAAACTTGGATTTCCACACGATACATGTACCTGGCGTGCAAAACGAGGGACCAGACTTGTTATCACGGAACCTTGCCCAAGGCCCACCCGTAGATGAAGATCAGCTTGAGGAGCGTTTAGTAGCAGTACCCACTTCACCACCCACCAACACTACTAACCCCCCCGCTGATAACATCTTCGCCACAATCGAAACGATCGACGTACTTGCCGACGTTCCGTTTTCCACCACAACCCTCGTGACCTGGCAATCCAACGACTCCCAAACGCGAGACATCATCAATGCAGTTAAGTCGGACACCCATGCACGTAACACCAGAATCGCCACGAAAGATACGGATAATTTTGTCCTATCGTATGGCCTCCTGCGACAAAACGTCAAGGGCCACTTAACAATCGTGATACCCAAAACTCAATCCCAACAGGTGATCTAGAGGTATCACGATCACATCACGGCTAGTCACCCAGGGTGGAAGGAAACTTACCTGGCAGTCAGGGACCGTTTCTATTGGAAAGGACTCAAAAATGACGTGAGGCTGTATGTCAAGTCATGACACATATGTGCATGTACTAAACCACTCAACTTACGGTCGAATGACCCCACCAACTTCATGAAACCCAGACACCTCTGGGAGGTTATCAGTATAGATTTAATGGGACCCTATCCTCGCACGAGTAAAGGAAAATTCTATATCTTGGTAGCTACGGACTGCTTCAGTAGATGGACCGAGGCATACCCGCTCGGAACAGCCACTACTAAAAACATTACCGAAACACTCGAACGAGAATTTTTCTCACGTTTTGGCTACCTCCGCGTGTGACAACGGCCCCCAGTTCGTGCCAAACGACATACTTAGCGCGATTGAACGATGGCAGGCGGAAGGTTAGACCACCCCAACCTATCACCTGAGAGCCAACCCGGTCAAGCGCCGCAATCAGGACTTAAAGAAAGGACTACGCGCAGCACTCACCAACAGCAAACACACTACCTGGGACACAAAGTTAGCCCCTATCTTGCTATTTGAAACTGGCGCAATGTACAGACAGGATATCCACCATCGATATTAGTACTCGGACGCGAGAGCAAAAGACCCGGAGATTGGATCCTAAAATTTGACTCACATACACAGTTCGAACCATTAAACAGGGATAGACTTAAGCAGGAGATAGAAATCACAGGCAGACACAACCGGTACATAGTGGACGAAAAATGCAAATTCTCGGAGGGAGATATGGTACTATATAAAGCCCACTACTTGTCCAAGGCTCACAAGGGATTTCATGCGGAATTCGCACCGAAATGGTGGGGCTCCGTAAGGCTGGAAAAGCGAGTTGATAAAGGAGTTTTCCTAACCGATCAGCTACCGCCGAGAAAGATCTAAAACGAGCACATAATTAATTATACACACAATTGCGCGTTTTCCAGCATCACATCCAGCCGCCATCAACATCCAGACACCACCATGGACACACCATGGTCGCACCGTGGACGACGTCCGGAAGGCGGGGGTTGCCCAACTGCGGGCTGAGTCGTTCTTTTGGGCAGCTTATTGCCGAGGGTGGGCCGACCGGACCACAGACTTAATCAGGTCGCTCGGGTCCACGGTGGCGAAGACACTGGGTAGATTGCGGGCAAAAGCCGAGAGGGAAGGTCCGAGTCAGCAATACCGGCTGACGAAGGCGACTCCCTCGGCTGAGTAGGCCATCGACCCGGAAGACCGGGAGTCGGTGCAGGTGGCGGCACCGGCGCCAGGTGGTTCCGCACAGGAATACCGGCCGGAGCTAGGCACCATACCGGGGGAAGCGATGGAGGTCGATGATCGAATCCTCGAACCACTCCCAACATTCCCGGACATTGAGGAAGGCCCGCCCGTTTTCATTATTTCACATCCCCCAGGGCGGACTAGGCGCCACTGCTGGAGTGCGACCCGTCTACCACAGACTGGACATCGTCTCCACGTCTCGGTGTCGTCCCCACCACGACTGGGGAACACCAAAAACGGCGACCCGACCTTATAAGTCCGGACATCGCCGACGGACGAACCATCGTAACAAACACGGGGAAATAGCGTACCAAACTGGAACAATAACGCGACTGGTGGTTTGGCGGAGGAGTGTGACGCGGACCCGTGCAGCAGCCGTTACCGAAACGGTCATCGCCGTCCGTGCCCTTATCACTCTCATTAACCACCAGTTCGTGGCACGCAACGTCAACGCGGCTATGGAAAAATATTTCGAGGTAGCCAATCTTACTTACAGCTATCTATCTCGTAACATGGCGGCTGCATACCAAGAACTGTGTTTTAGAATTTTTTTTTATTATTTTACGTAGTAAGAACAGAATGTACACATAATAAATATTAAGATTTTTAAGAATTTATATTAATATTTCAATTAATTTTTGATTTTTAATAGTTTTATATTCACGCTTAGTACAAGCTTTGGATATTTGATAAGATCCAAAACCGCACATTTATTTCCGTTTTTAATTAATTTTGTGTTTTAACTTATAGTCGTTTTTAAAGTGTTCATAAATTTTAATTACGGTGCACCGTAGTGTACTCGTTAAATGTATAACTAATTCATACTGATCGAGTTTATCAGAATAATGTTGATCACTATCATGATAGTGTCCACCGCGATAGTGAAACACAAGTTTAACGGTAAACAAGATAAAAAAAATCATACACATTTCTAAATGTATAATAAAGAATTGTCATTTTGAAGGTGGAATAAAAATAAAAAATAAGTACCAATTTTAAAGCACAAATTCGCGCCCTTGGCGTAAGCACATTTCACCATACTCTTCCTTCGCCACTATGTGACGTAATATGATTTGTGTTTTTCATGGATTTGAAACTATATTGTTACTAAATTATTTTTTAATCACAAAATGTTATCATTGTGGATTTGTGGTTAACCAAATTAATTAAATTGTTAACGAAAACAATCAAATTTATTATCTCATTCATGAATGTATCATTGTATCTATGATTATAGGTACGTACATTTATATGTCTATGTCACTCTTACTTATAAGTTATAACATAAAAATTAAAATTTAAAATGCATCGGTCTCATGCGAAAAAATTAATAGTTTTAGCTGAGAAATCAAAAAATTATGAAAATAAAAAAATAGACTAAATTATTTATTTATTATTTAGATTGTCCAGAATTGCAAGCCAATGCTGAAAATTCAATGAATTTTGAATAAGTGCATGCATTCACACCAGAAACTAATATTGACACAGAATTTTCCTTTGAACTTTATACAAAAACTGCATATATAAGAAAACGTAAAATTTCAAAATGAATCTGAATAAGAGAAAACAAATTAAATAAAAAAAAAAAAAACTGCATCAAAACCGAGACCCTTGTGATATAAATAATGTAAAATAATGTGACGCTAATATATATAGTGAACATTGCAACATAATTAATAATCAATTCTGAACTATGGCTGAATTGTAAAAAACAAAAAATTTATTTTAGATGCCTGTAGAACTTCAGCAGTAAAACGAAAAAGAAATGGAATAAATAATAATCGAAAAAGTAAAACTTATAGTTATCGTTTAACTGATCATAAAGGTATGTCTATTGTGTCTATTGCAGTATATAGTTTTTTTTAAGTAAAATAATGGAAAAATAAATTTCTTTTGCCAATTTAGGATACGAAGATTGTGAGTCATGTGAGAAATTTAAGCTACATGGTATGTATAATGTATGTACTCATACTGCTTTTTTCTTAAGTAAATAACATTCAAGTTTGTATTATTTTACTAAGCAAAAAAGCCGTAAGTCGATTTCAGTCAGTTCTAGACAGTTTAGAGTTAAAAAACATATTATTTTAAATTTTACATTAAAAACTAAGTATGTCTCATTTCATTTTTAGTTTAATTTAATACAATATATAAATAGTACAAAGCAATTTAGAAAAAACAATTTTTATCTTAACTTTGAAAATGGCATATATTGCCATTAGACTTAATAAGGCAGTATGGTATACACGATTCAGTTAATTTCCGCCATGTTATAATAGAAAAATATGCTTAAATGTCATAAATATTTCCATTAACACCAAGATGTATAGACACTGAGCATTTCAAAAAAAGGAAAAAATGATTTAATTAAGACAAAGATATTTTAAATTAACATACTTAAAGTACTTAGCAAGATCAGTATTTTGGTGTATAAATCGACCATGTAACCCAAATAGTAAAGGTTTTATAATACTCAAAATTGTTCAAAAATGTTACTATTCACCCAGTTTTATGGTATTAATGAGTAAGTTTAAATTATAGACTTCAGGTATATGGATTTATGGCATAAATCTAGTTTAGCGCCCACGCAGTTTTATACATTTTTTTTAGATTTGTTTCTTGTTTATTTTCTATCAACTTTAAAAAGTTTGATAGTTCAATAGTATTAGGTAATACAATAAAATAAATAGTAAACATAGTAAAGAATAATCTAAAATTGAAAGCACAAAAAAAAAAATGTTTATTTTCAAAACTTCAATTACTTAGGTACCTACATTAAATTATTAATATAATGTACATTAAAAAATTCAAAATTATTTTATAATTAGGTAGTCATAGAAAAAAATATATTTACAAGATTTTTTTGTCAAACCAAAATTATTTTATCCACATTTACAAAAAAAAACTAAGAAACAATTAAATTGTTCATTTAAAAGGAATAAACAAATTACCTGTAATTTCTAAGTAGGTCCTTATTGTTAATTGAATTAGAATTTCTGGTAAATTATCGTTTACAAGAAGATTTAATTTTTATAATGTAACGTACAAAATGAATAAACTATTACACAAAAGCCGATTGAAAATAGCATTTAATTTTTACATTGACATGGATATCACAAAAATTATTCAACGTTCAACGATGAACTTCGAAAAGACAAAAATCGGTTTCGATTCTGTGACAATTTGATTTTATGCGACAATGCTTTTAAATAGTTATTAAGTATTAAAAATCATACTTTGCTCCAAATGGAATTAAAATTCACCGAGGGAGCTGAAAAAAGTGACGAGAGATAGCTGCGAAACCCTATATCAATATCCTCATATATTTTTAATGGTTCTGTGAAAAAATACAAGTAGTTCTCTTCTTCTTGTAAATCTAAGAAAATATGATAATCATTGATAAGTGAAATTATTAATTTTTCTAATTAACGACATATTTGTAGACAGTATAGGTACACCATAGATAAGTATACATAATATAAGTATACACAAAGAATCCTTATATTGTATTAATTGTTGTTTGATTTTTTTTTTTCAAAGGTTATAATTTAGGTAATTTATAAGTTAATTATATTTTTGATGCATTTGATTTATATCTTTCCACAATATTTTTGAATTATCGACCAAAGTCATAAGCAGTAAAAGATATTTTTTCTTTTTTGGGTGAGGGGTTAAAACAATGTTTTCCAAACTGTGAGGCATGCTTCCCTAGGGAGGCGCAAGCGTTTATTGAGTGAGGTGAAAGACAAATATTTATATTGTATATTTATCATATATTTATTTTTAGATCAGCAGTAATGTGTTTTTACTGGAGTAATAAAAAAAGTTTTTATTTATTCATGGGAAGCGTGATTAAAGGTTTTTTGTTATGGGGATGCGTGAACCAAAATAGTTTTGGAACCGCTAAGTTAGATGATAAATTAATGATAAAATTATATTTATGATAACAATTTTATTTTTGATAACAACAAAATGATAATGACGGTGTTGGTCTAACGGAGCGTCTAAACATAGGAATGCACCTTAAGCATTTTGCCCATGCGCGTAATTTATTCACCACTATTATAATGTTAGGCTGTTACATAGAGTTACTCTACGGGCTGTTATCAAAATATCATATCAAATAACTATAATACGATAATAATAATATAATAATATGAGTTAAGAATCAAACTATTCAAAATTTAACTATATAATTTCTATGGCAATAATATACTGTCATTTTATTTTAGTTGTTAAATAATAATGTTCAGTTTCGTTATAATTTTTTTTTGTATTAGTATATTACTGAAACGTTTAGTTTAAACTTAAGTGTAATGTAGTATTTATACATTACATTTTTTCATACGTATTTTATAGTACTACGTATTTATAATTATAACTATAAACAAATTAATAGAAGTAATATGAACCACGTGCGAATCGCAAAATCTCAAATAGGAAAAAGTTGCGAAACAGCATTAGCAACCAAATGTATCCAACCGCCCAGTACATACGCTTCGCTTATATTTGTTACCATAATTTACTTTGTCTATGTTGATGTTAAATTAAAAAATGTTAAATAAAATATCAGTAATACCGTGATAAGTATTCTTGATAAAGTTATTAATCTAACTCTAAAATCCTTACATCCTAATATTGTGTAGTCGTGTTGAACTCACAACTCGGCGTACTACACTAGTTGGTTTTGATAATTCATACTTGTACTTACTATTAAAATAATGTCATTTATATAGATATTAGACAATATTGAATTTTAATGTTTAAGATGTTTGTGAATTGTATTGTTAATACTCAATAAAATATTTAGTTAATAGCATTTGTGTAATAAATTTTGATAAAGTCTGGTTTATGAAAAGTTCAAATAGGTAATTGGGTAACGTAAATATAAATAAACATTATTAAAAGCCATCTCAACATATTTGATAGTTATTGCTGTTTTGATTTTTTTTTTCAAAATGTATCTGGTATATATAATAATTTATTTATTAAAATGGTCGAAGCAGTGTAAAATACGTATGTAGTATGCTCAAATTTTATATAGTTTAATTCAAAACTCATATTATTATAATAATATTATTATCGTATTATAATGATTTGATATAATATATTGATAACAGCCTAACATTATGATAGTAGTGAACAAATTATGCGCATGCGCAGAATGCATAAGGGCATTCCTGAGTTTAGACGCTCCTGTCGATTAGAACACAGAATAAATGAAATCAGAATGGTCACTGATAAGATTTTACACAGGGAACATAAGGAAGTTCAAAAATCATTCGGCTATTGTTTTGGAGTCCCAACAGTGTGAAAACCTAACACATAGACTGATAATTTACTTAATTACAACTGCTGTTGTATTGTAGCATTTATATAAAATTATTGAAATTTAATTTTATATTTCAATTCATTAAATATATGCCAGTTTACCACTAGTAACATTGTAAAATGGAATAATTGTAATTTATTCTGTGATAAAACTATGCCAATAATAATTTTCATTGAATTTTTTCATCCTTTCACAGCACACTTCACTCCTCCAATTGTAAATAAATAAAAACCTTTTTTTGATGTACAATAAATACGAGAATCGTTTATTTAGAATTTAACAAGGTTTAATTCACAATAATCATTGAGTCAATACAATAAACTATGAAGCACGTGCACGTCAATGTTTTCAAAACAATTACGGAATAAATGTTATCACTTTTAGTGTGATAAGAAATTAGAACTCCAAAATATGGTGGCTAAATTTTGTTTACATTTAGAAGTGACCATTCTGATTTCATTTATTCTGTGATAAAATTATAATTATGATAAGAATTTTATTTTTGATAACAACAAAATGATAACGACGGCATTGGTCCAAGGCATAGAGTAATAATACTCTATGGTATTACTCTATAGTCCAAGGTGTTAAACACCCTAGTTTTATCAATATATATTTTTATTAGTAAATCAATCTTATTATGTTATAAAACCTTATCACATTTACACAAATTATAATATGACAATAAATCAAAAACAGTTAAAATACGTACTTTTGACTTTCGTGTATCGTAATATTTTATTTAATTCTCACGTGTAATATACATATACTTAATTAAAAAAAATGTATGTGTTTTGATAAATATAAATCAATTCTATCAAAATGTTTGATTGTAAGTAACAAATATTGGTATAATATTTATTATTCTTATTACATACTTAACTGAACTTATAAAATTTTTTTAATACATCTTACTACACTTATTTTATATTATTATGTTGTAAATGTATTAAGCCCTTATAATACACCATATATGTTATTTGTATAATTTAAATAAGTAAATAAAGATGGTTTATAATAAATGCTGAAAGTACAACAGTCCACAAGTAGCCGACTAAAAAGTTTAGTTTCGGAGCTTAAAGATATATTTACATCTTATGGACACTTTTTATTTTGTGTATTATGTGGTAATTTTTTTTTCTTTAATGCATATAAATGGATATTATAATGCATATTCTAATGATTTTAGAAGCATATTTATGTATTTTTTAGAGCTGTAAGCCCCTAAGACTACTGATGAATAATGATAATTTTCAAGTAATTTATAATATTGTACATCATTAAAAATTATTTTTGTATCATCCCACATCATTTTTTTATAAGTCTTGTTGCGTATCATGGACCACTACCATATTTTTGTTCAATGATCATTGATATTGTCAGTATCACCTTATTCATATACATTGTCATCTACATTTTAATTTATATCTCCATCACTCAATTGTTCTCAATTATTTTTAAAGCTTGCTTTAAAGTAATAAGGTAGTAATATGGTAAGCAGTATATGATACAAATATCAAACATATGTACATGCATAAAAGTAATCTTATGTTTTAAAAATTGATAACTATATATTTCTAAATTACAAATTGCTACTAATTGAAACAGTTAACTTATGTTTACCTAAAATATTTTATTGAAGGCGTATTAAATTTATCATATATTTTTTTTCAGGTATATAACACTGCTTTAAGTTTTTGCCTAATATGTGGTCCATTGTTAATTGTATTTAATTTATATATATATAGGTCACATATTAGTATTAAATAACTATTTGAATGATCTACTAAATGGTAAAACAACCTATCCTATTACTAACTATCAAATTTTTTTATTCAAATATTTTACTGTAAGTTATGCTTTATTATATTTTATATTATATCTCATTTAACTATACTGCTCGTTTGAATAGATTGTAAATAAAATTAATTTAGTAATAATAATTAAAAGTTAGGCATACAGATTACAGATTTCAGTGTTTACCATTTATATTACAATAAATACATTCTTTTTGCTAGAATTCTTGTGAGTTTTCACAGTATGTATTAAAATTGGTAGAGGGTTCATTGTTTTCCCGTGTTATCATTGGCGCCGAACACATACTTCTATAGAGCGGTTTGCTCCTATATTTAACTTTGTAATGTTTGAATTCAGGGCCGGCTTTAAATACGAATGAAGCGTGTGAGAGGCGTTGGAATTAGAATTAAATTTGATCAACCTAAGGCGATACAAAATATCTACTACGGATAGAAAAAAATAATTTGACGATATGGTTCAATGTAAATTTGATTACAATTAGTTTTATAAACTATAATTTTATTATTTTGAGTATTATTATATTTGTTCTCCAAATGATTTACAATTTTGTGGCAAACATGCACGTTTGAAAAATTATTTTGAATTTTGAGCATTTATGATTATGAACGAGGCTCATATATGTATAATGAAGCCCTACCAGTTACCAAGTCTGCCAGTTTTAGTTATATGTTTAATTCGTTTAAGATTTCCAAAATAATTATTGTACTGAGCGCTGAAAGAGCTAAAGCCGTCCCTGGTTAAATTTACTATATAATCATATGGCATTATTTTGCTCTTACACATTAGATGGTAGTAGTAACTAATTTATGTACTTTGCCCTACCAAATGAGATATATGTCAGCGTCCTTATATGTTATTACAATTAATTTATATAATTTATAATGATAATTTTATTTGAAAATTTCTAATTACTTTAATTGGACTTAAATTAATACTTATGTCCTGAATGACCCTAACCCTTAATATAGTTGTTTTTAAGATAAAATATGTTATAAATACTAAAATACAATATTTTATATTATATTAATTTATTCAACTCCAACCTTCACCCAAGAGTTATTACCACAATGCTAAAATTGTTCATTATTTTCAAATATATACATATAATATCACTATAACTCACCTAATCAAGTAACTTATCAACCACTTATCAGACAACTAATTGTGAATTTAATTTCAGTATAACATATATAACTATAACTTTAGGTGATCTTTAAGTACCAATAAATTTAATTAATATTGCAAAATGTGCAAAACAAATATGTTGTAACTCTTAAAGAGAATGAACTTTATGTTTTTTTAAGAAAATTCATTTTTTATAAAACAATTAAAAACTTTTGTTAATTTCTTATATACAATATTTATACATACACAAATAGTTTAAAAAGTTATTTTAACAATTATAATAACAATTACTTGTTTGGATTATATAAAATATATATCAATTGCTTATCAATCATTATTTCTTACTATAGATTTTAATGATATATTAACTCATACAATTACAAGTTTTAACCTCAAATTTAATTATAATAGATGATTATCTTGATATTGTAAGCATGACAGAAAATCAAACTATTTTGTCACATTTTTGTATTTTAATTTAATTTTTGATTCAGCTAAATAAGTACATTAAACAAATAAATACATAAAGACTTAAACTTAAATATAATAATAATTTATATATTTATAAATAATTAATACTTGTCATAATTTACAAATATCTGTTTTTATATGTTATATTTCATGTAGAATAGACAAACTTATAATAATTTTACATTACCTAATATATATTATAATAAAGAAAGTTAAATAAAAGAATATTAATTCAATTTTCACTAATCTTCATATTGAACCATTAATTTATTATATTATTGGTACTAATATTAAAGTCTGTTATAATTTTATGTTCAAAACCATAATTTATTAGTAAATTAAATGTTAATAAGTAATATGATGTTTTTACATATTTAACTAAAATATCATTTTTAAAAAGTTAGAGTATTCTCATAAACATATACTTTATATGTATAGTATTTACATGTTTATATATATGTAATATATGTTTAACATTCTAAATTATAGTTTAATTTCATACAGTTCACATTGTCATGGAAATGAAGGCAAAAATAAAAATATAAGTGGTCTAAAAATACTAATGGTTGGATGTAACTTGTGTTATGAGAACAGCTATGTATGAAGTAGATGTAGGAAATTGAAACATTATAGTGAAGGATTAAGGCGATAGATCAATCTCAAATAGTTAGAAGTATTGGCAAAAACCCGTTTTATTTTCCTAACGTAATCTGCATTTTTATTTATATTTATTTTTAAAGAAAGTAGAGCAGTCATTTTAAAATACAATTGTATAAATACTAATTGGTGTCTTAAATTATATATTTATAGTTCGCATGCAAATTGTAAGAAGGTTCTTTAGAAGAATTATGAAACCAATGTCTATTGAAGAAGCCGAAGCTAAAAAATCTTTCTTTGCAAAAGCATATTTTCTATTTAGTTTTGGAGCGTTTAGTACCATATTATACCAAGTAAAACAAGGCCGTTTTAATTGGTTGGAAGCTGAAGGATTAATTCCGGAAGATGAAACAAAACTGTCCCCTGGTGAGTGGACAATGTTTATGTAAATTATTATCGTCCAAATAATGATGAAAATAAATTGTTACATTTTCAGCTTTTCAGTATGCCAGGATGCTAGGTGTTAAAAATGCTACTGTCATTAGAGTTAAAGGAACCGATATTATGAGCTCAAAAGAATATGACAAAGAAACATTTGATGTATCTAAGCATATAGAAGAAGAAGAAAATTCTCTTGTAGATCCAGAAAAAAAATTTTTAAATATATAATTTGTGTCATACGCATTGTATTAGTCAATATGTTGAAAATTGTTAAGAAATTAAACGCATTATTTGTTTACATTAATCACACTTGACTTCTTTTAAAATTTTTATAACCGTTTTGTGCTGGTTGTTCTTCCCAACGCGATGCAGTGTGAAGTACATAACCGGGATCATTTGGCGATTTAGGTTCATCTGCATTAGCACCGAAATAAAATCGACTTTTAACCGATTTCTGTAACGAATCATTTACTCTTTCCACCGGTGATTTTAACGGCAGATCGGTCGGTCTCGTCGCTCTTTTTTTTTCCGATAAAACGTACGGCACACTGGCGTTTTTCACTTCGTGTTCGTTTTCTTCTTTTGGGCTTTCTTGTTGATTGTGCATCGTACTCGTGATGCTAGGCGATTGCAGCTTAACGCCGTTCTTGACATTTACAAATCCACTAAAAAAAAAAAAAAAAAATTGAGATCTGTATAATTTATCGCCCAAATTACGTCTCTCGCCAAGTAACCAAGTGAAGTTTTGATCATTGATGCCTATTGGTTTTTAAATTATTGGGAATATTTAAAAATTTTAATGCCGATGGGCTTAAAATACCGAATTCGAAGATGAACATAGAGGTTTTTTTGTCATTTATGTTATTTATTTATTATATATATTTATTATTTATATTTATGTTTCACTACAGTACTATTTGTCTCTGAACTGTTTTTTTTTTATTTAGTGGTATATAAAAAATAATAATAGGTTAAGAAATAAAATTAATAATGAAAACACTGAATCATTTATATTTGTCAGTTGAAAAAAAAGCGTTTAATCAACATGGACCAGTGGTATTATAATTGTATTATACCGGTTTCTTTCGACAAGTTTTTAAAATGTATTTAAATTAATATATATTGTTTAAAATCGATTATTAGCTCAATTGTTTAATTTATTAATTTAGCATTTATATTTATTGCCTACTTATTATTATTGTTTTTTTTTTTTTTTTTTTTTTTATTACGGGTGTATATACTTTAATATGTATGTGGTCTGGACAACCGTCCTGGATTTTTCTCCTTGGTCATCCTTCCAGTATTCAACGGGACCGATTTTCTAACCTACGCGTTCGTCTCGTACCTGTGTCGATAATCCGATGACTCCTCCAGAGGTACGTTGATCTCGAGCTTCTTCATTTTCGGCAAGTCCATGTCTGTGTCGTACCAATCAGCGTGACTATGACCGCTGAATCCGCGGTCGTTCAAATACTTGCGACCGTACTGGTGAACGGGCTCCGTCCCGTCGCGTTCGTCCGCTTCACCTTTTTGCCTCATTGCTTCGGCCGACGTCTGAACCCCTTCGTTTTTCGTCAACACCGCGTGTCCGTTGGCGCTCGTCGTCTGCAACAAGCCGTTCAGTTTCTTCTCTACCATCTCCCGCTGCTTCAATATCACTCCGTTGTTGACGGATACATCATTGTTGACGTGCATGCCATTATTAATGTGCACACCATTGTTGACCGTATTGGTGTTTACCGCTGTCCTGGTTCGCGCGATGTCGCCGTACCTAGTGTTTTTCGGTATATGCGACTTCTTGTCGTTTCGACTGTTTGACAGACATGTGTCCAATATGAACACCATACCTGTCACAATGGACAAAGTGCCAAGAACAAGAGCGTTGACCATCAAATCTCTGGGCACACTGTCCACAGATGTCATCACCAGACAACCGACGGCGATAAACAACGTAGCGCCGATGACCAACAGAAACGATTCCTGTAACGATTAGCCATTATTATTGTTAATGATTTTTTTTTTTTTTTTTACGTTAAGATTATGATCAATAATTTGCATCGAAAGTGACCCAAAATATATATACAACGTGACATATAATTTTTTCCCACGTTTTTGAAATGCGTTTATGCAATATACACCTGAATAAAGATAATATGATATTTATACAATATTGGGTAGTAAAAAATATGAATTATAATTTCGCACTAAAATTCAAATACATTATTTTTTCGATGGCACCCCCGTACACGTTTCGATAATATAAGATTTTATAGAAGTACGAGAAGTTAATATAACACAGAATATTAGAGTATTCCGTTTTAGATTGTGATTGGTTATTTCACTAATACCCATTTCCACCGTTTCACGATCGGCAGTAAAATCAGTTTTGACTTCTAAGTTTTATAAGTTATAAATTATAACTAATTTAATCCATAAAAAGTATAAAACAAAGTCGCTTCCCGCGTTTGTCTCTATATATGCTTAGATTTTTAAAACTACTCAACGAATTTTGATGTGGGTTTTTTAATTGATAGAGTGATTCAAGGGGAAGGTTTTTTTTTTTTAAAAAAAAAAAAGAGAAGACTGAAGACTGTATTATTGTATTAAGTGTGTGGTGTGTTACCATGACAATAAGATTAAATTAAAACCATAATTTATTGAACTAAGTAAATTTTATTCAGAAATGATAAATTCATGTCTGGAAGTTGTCGTTCGAACATAGATCATAGTACAGTGAATGCCAAAAAAGCACGTTCAGCAAGAGATGAAAAATCATCAACGGAACATAAGGATTGCCTCAGCCAGCTTCGGGACAAATATAGAGTTAAGATCTCCACCAGGATCGAGATAGACATAGAATTCAGAGAATTAGAGAATCGTCTATAGAGTTCAAGGCTCGCCTCAGCCAGGATAGAGATAGATATCGAATACAGATAACCAGAGAATTTTCTATACAGACACATAATAACACTAAACCAAACGTACCACAGATCCAAGAGTTTAGGCCAAATGTCAATAAATTAGAACTTAAAACAAACATGAGGACTTCGTTGTCTTTGTGTGAGAACAAAAACTTTTTTTAGAGAATTTTTGTGCTAAAAGTTGGCTATGAAGAGTTAACACAAAGTGATGGAAGGATTAACCTAGAAAACCTTTGTGTTTTGATAGGCAACATCCAATAGTTGGTCAACAATGTCTATCCCAACATTGATATCATAAGTTGTAAGACATATCTTAGTTTGAAAAAAGTGCGATTCTATCACCAATTAACGAACAGATAAGGTAAATAAATTCATTCATTCAAAGATTGATGCGCCGATGCAAATACACTACTCATTTGATACTGTTTTCGATTTGGAAGAAGCTGTTAATTTTCCTACAAAATTTCTTAATTCTTTAAACTCGTCCGGACTCCCTGCTCATAAAATGGTGCTGAAAGTAAGTTGTTCTGTTATATTATTTAGAAACCTGATTCCACCAAAATTTTGCAATGGCACGCGTTTGCTGGAAAAATCCCTAAAAACTTTCATAATAAAGTGCATAGTACTCACCGGATGTGATACCGGAGAAGATGTATTGATTCCCCGAATTCCTCTGATACTATCGGATTTTCCGTTTCAATTTAAACGCCTACAATTTCCGGTAAAGATATATTTTGCAACAATTATTAATAAATCCTAGAGTCATACTTTCAACGTTGCAGGCTTAAATTTGAGCATTGAGTGTTTTTCACATGCCCAATTATATGTGGCTCTTTCAAAAGTAACCCCTAAGGAAAATATATTTATACGTCTAATGACAAAAAAGATTGTGAACGTTGTATATGTATAAAGCAGGGATTTTTTTTAAAAAACGTTACTAAATGAAAATAAATTATAGTATTATATTATTATTATTTATTACGAAAAAAAAATATATCTGTTATCAAAAAGTTAATAAGATAGTATAACTTATTGATTTTGTTTTATAATTTATAATACCTACTCATTATCCTATTGGCTATTATAGTTAATTGTAACAATAACATGACTTTATAGAAATCATATACACTATTTTTGACTGCCTACGGTAGTATCATTTATACTCCCATATTTTGGTGCATATCATATTATCTCTATGTACACAACATATTAAGTGTATATGTGATTTGTGAGTCGCAAACATTGATAATGTTATTTGAGTCAGAAGTCACCCCTGTTAGTAACACTTGACGTTGTTCTACATCATTGGCAGACATTACCGTTCTTTTGCTGTTCTTTAGTTCGCCCATCAAATACGCTATGAACAGTGCCACGCATATTATTATGTAACCGCCGAACGTGACGTCCGCGAACAGAGACCCTGCCCCGTTCCTTGTTATGTTATTCAATAAAGGCCACTCCCGAGACGTCTTCTCAAAAAAATAAAACAGTCTGGTGGCTTCTGCGTCGGACCATCTCTTGTAGAGTAGACAACTCAAACACAAAATCTGTAACATATGCATTCATAATTTTGATACCAATGAAAATTCAATCCCCACCTTATTAAAAGTGCATAAAAGCCATTTTGTACGCAGTTTTGATTGCAGTTTTAGATTTTTTTTTTTTTAAATTATTTTCGAAAGTGAGTTTTTTCATTGTGTCCAGGCAACCAACCTTTTACAAGAATTTTGCATGTATCGTTTCATGTAGTATGAATTTTCTTTCATCACAACCATAGATATGAAATAAATTCGAATATTTATATTTCATATTTTTAAGGAAAAAGTAAAAATTATGTTATTCGTAATACTAAACAGTAATCAAAACCATAAGTATTAAAATTATATAATCCCTATTATAACAATTAAAATTTACTAATGTACAAAGCTATATGTCTAGAATTGTTAGTCATTAGTATGAGTCCGTGTACTATTATTCATCTAATATTCAAACAAATTATATAATAATGTATACAATTCCACACCTACTTCACGTAACAAATGTAAAAGTACCTATATGCTTTATGAATATATAACCGAAAACATAAATGCTTTTCAGCTAAAAAATATAGATAGTTAACTTAAACCATTATCCATTGCTAACCACGTATTCTAATTCATTTAAATGTCTTGAGCATGGATAAACATATTTTGATTCAGTAAACATCACCTTGCTCATAATAACTACAATTATAACTTATTACACAAAAGACGGAACACCTTTTTGAGAGGTGAGGTCTTGTTAGTTAATGATGTTTAATGATGACCGTTGTTATGAAAACGTATAGCTGTTAAAAATTAATTCTTCAAGGTGTGTGTCGTCTGTATTTTATACGAATCAGTAAATACTCGTAAAATTATTTGTGTACTACGTCGGATTCAAATAATTGTCTACATCAGTGGTTTTCAACCTTTTTTGGGTCGCGACCCCCATTTTTATTTTTTTTGTACTGCGACCCCTTTCAAAAAAAAATGTTGTTTTATTCATCAAAATTTGATTTAATTACTGAAAAAATATTTATTTGTTATACGATTTTGATTAATTTACACTTAAAAATTTAATTAATTCGTAATACAACATTATTTTAAAACAATCCAAGCATATACAATAAATTTAAATATAAAAAAAATACATAATACATAAACTGTTGTTAATGGGATACTTGAGCTTGAGCTTTTGAAATGATTGTTTCCATATTAGGTTTTATATTAGAGACTGCAACTCTTAGATCTGATTCTAAGTTTAATTTTGTCCGATATTTGTTTTTTATAACTGAAAGAGCTGAAAACGCCGTTTCACAAAGGTGGTTGCAAATGGCAGAAGTGTTGATACAGCTACTTTTGACAATTCTGGGTATTCTGATTTTATAGAAATCCAAAATTTATCACTTGTAGTTTCATTAAATTTTATACGCAGATTTTCATCGGCAGATAACTCAATTAATTCCTCGTTCATAACTAAACTTAATTCAGAATTCATTTCATTTATATTAATAGAAAATGGATTTCTTATCCATCCCAACTTTTTTTCTGGAAACTTTTCAAACCGTGTGTTAAAATGGTTTTTCAAATTTTCGAGATGAAGTAATATTATGTCTTTTATTTTTTTAATATCAAATAATTCATTGTCAGCAATAAATTCTGAAAAACATGAAAACATTTCGAAGTTTTCATTATTAATATAATTTATCCATAAACTTATTTTTTTTTTGAAAGCATCGATTTTATCGGAGAGAATTAATATATTTGTATTTTTATCTTGAAGACTTAAATTTAAATTATTTAATTTTTCAAAAATATCGGCAAGGTAACTTAAAATTGCTAACTATTCTTCATTTAAGAAGTGTTCTGCGAGTGTATTTTTATGTTCAAGGAGAAATATTCGTATTTCATCTTTAAGCTCAACAATTCTTAATAATATTTTTCCACGGGATAACCACATAACTTCAGTATGAAGTAGTAGTTTTGTATGATCAGATCCCATTTCATTACATAGTATCATAAATAATCTAGAATTTAATGATTTTGATTTTATAAAGTTAATTACACGTATAGCATCTTGTAGTACTTCGTTGACAAATGGTTCAAGTTTTTTAGATGCTAAAGCTTCCCTATGAATCATACAATGAGTAAATAGTATACTTGGTGAAATTTCGTTAACTTTAGCTCTAAAACCTTTCTTTGATCCAGTAAATGCTGCTGTCCCATCTGTACAAATTGCCTTACACATTGACCACGAAATTTCATTATTTTCAAAAAATGCATTAATAAGGGTAAATATGTCATTACCAGTAGTCCTGCCATTTAAAGTTTGACAAAATAAAAAGTCTTCTAAAATGTCTTCTTTGTAAATATACCTGACATAGACAAGAAGTTGAGAAAAGTTAGAGATATCTGTAGATTCGTCCAGTTGCATTGCAAAATAATTACTTCGCAATCTATTTAAAAGTTGTTTTAATATATCATCAGATATGTTTGAAATCCGACGTGATTACAGTATTATCAGATAATGGAATTGATTTTAAATCAATTTTAAATTGAATTTAATTTTGCCTCACCGTGCATAGCCGTTACAATTTTTATAGCAGCTGGCAAGACAAGAGATTCGCCAATCGAATGCGGTTTTTTTGTTTTTGCTATTAAGTATGAAACCTCGAATGATGCAACTAAAGCTTTTTGTGAAACTGTAGAAAATTTATTTATAACTTTTTTTTGAACCTTTAATGCATTTTCATGTCTTTTAAAAAATTGTTCATCTTTATTACTATATTGCGGATGTTTCGTTTCTAAATGTCGTTTAAGTTTAGAGGGTTTCATACTTTCGGAAGCCAATATTTCTAAGCATATAACACACTTAGGACGATGTTTACCTTTTTCTTCAATAAAAGTAAATCCAAATTGTATATACTGATCTTGATATTTACGTTCTTTTTTTTGGTTCTCAACATTTAAAGTTTTTTTTTCTTCCAATTCCTCGTTGATAGGTTGGTCCGTTGTTGTTTCCGACAGTTTACGTTTTTTATTTTCACTTGCACTTGCACTTGTACTTGCGCGTTTAATTAAAAATTTTTCCATTTTAAAACAGTATAGTAACATACTTTATATCGCGTGAGATACATGTACTGCACGAATGACACCTAAGTAGGAACTGATTATTATAAATATTTGCGACTGAAATTGTTCAAATATACCTATGTATACGATACGAGTTACGAACAATTTAATAATCCATATCCGCTATCAATAAGATAATAAATAAGAAATTAAGATTATAAGCTCCTCAGCATGTTCTATAATCTATAATTCTCTATATAAAACAAAATTAAAAATTAACTTTATTTTATTTTTAAATAAAATGGAAAAATCATTTCATCTATTATTTTTGGCGACCCCCAAACCTATCATTCGCGACCCCCTTGGGGGTCGCGACCCCCAGGTTAAAAACCATTGGTCTACATATATTATGATAATTTAACGTTATTATTATTATTATTATTATTATATTATAACACACTGTACTTATATTACGAAAACCGATTATTACAGATACCTATCATAAGCGGACATTTATTATAAGTGAACATTTTGAAATAATCAATGAATATAATTGTTGAATGTTTTATATTCCCAATAACAGACACTCTTCTATAGATTATAACGGACAATACACAGCTCACGTAAAAAGAATAATAAGTAAGATTCAAGTTATTAAAAATTAATATTTACATAACTACTGATTTTTCTGGTTCACTATCAATATAGAAATTAATAATTATAAGTAAGGCCCTTTTGGATCCTATATTAACAAAACGTGTAGGTATAATAAATATAAATTATATTGTATAAATAACTAAATACACAACTTTATTTTTTTGTTTAATATTGTAGTATAATAATCCCAATGAATGTTTTCCTTGAATCTCATATATTTTTCTTGGATAGCTTAGATTATTTACGATTTGTACTTTTGTAGTCAACTGTAGCTGTTATTATCATAAAAAAAATTTATATGAACATTAATAACATTTAGTTTTATTTGTTCTATTACGAAACATCATTTATATTTTATAAAATATTTTAGAATAAATTACATTTAATTTGCACAACACCGTTAAAATTCGGACTCCTAACTCTTAGACTTACATCGTAGGGCCCCATTTACAACATTTTGGAGTGTGCCCCGTCCGTAGACCTATGGGTAAAGGAATTGTAGCATTTCCATACTTGTATTTCAAATCACAAGAACAACAGAGTACGAAACAAATTTGTTTGATGATTCCACAAAGCTAACCTTAAAATTTTAATTTGGGTATAAATGCTTTTTTCGATTTTTTTTTTGTTTTTAGAGCATATTTTTCTATTTTATACTTTATATTTTAAATAATTTATTATTTTATTAATATTTTTCCATCGATTTTTTTATTTCATCTAGTATATGACCAAAATATTGTTGTATTAAAAATAATTTGAAATTTTGATCATTTAATATGGGGGTAGTTAACTGTTCGTAGATATATTTTTTCCAGATATATGTTTCGAAAGTCTCCGATTAGTTTAATTTATAAACAATGAATCATTTAACAGGGACAGCATTGCCGATATGATTTCCAACATTCGGATCGAATAGAAACTCATAGAAGAAAAATAAACAGTAAACACATTTTTACAAACATTTCCATTTATATTTTCATTTATAAACTTTTCCTATAGGATTGTATAAACGATATCAAAAAAAATGTATTGCATTAACTTTTGTCAATTGTTGTTGGTTAATAGTTGTTAGTCATTTAGTCTTAGTTTTGCCGTCAGCGTACATGCATCTATTTTTAATTCGTGCCAATTTTTTTCTTTGTGTTCTGTTCTAATATTAAAATTCTGAAAGATAAACAGTTTTTTAACAGTTGGTTAAAGAGTTATTTATCGGTATTTGATTATATTTTCGACTATCGGTAAAGTCCTATACTGTAAGTATTGTGAAGTTTAAATAGAAAAACGATTTAATGTTACATCTAAATTATTTATATTTATTTTAAACAAATTGTTTAAAAAAAATATAAGAACATATTTTTAATGCATATTATAAGAAATTTAAGTGCTAAGTGCTTGCATATTTAGTGCTTTTTTAGAGCTACAAATCTTCTACTCCACTTATAAGTTGTAACACGTTCAATTATACATCAATAGATTCGTTTAAATTTTATGATTCATTTTAAAACTATTATAACAGAAACACTATAATATAAATACTTCTTTACAGTGGATGGACATTTTACTATATCAATTTTATTGGTGTAAACTTATACTGATTTTATTTGTTAAAATGCATTTTTTCCTTGAAATTTATATTTAGCTTAATCAATAATTTCAATTAAAAACGTTAGCTAACCGAAGCATAAGCTTCCAACGCCTCAACGTTTAGAATTGAATTTGATTATTTTAAAATTGTTAATAGAAAGACTTCTAGTGAAAAAAAAATTAAATGGCTTTCAGTTACCTGGGGTTATATACATTTTTTTAGTTCTAACTCAAGCAATTTCATAACTAGAACTACATATCAAAACGTATTACATTTTTCCCATGACATATACGCGCGCAGTTATAACACACACGTACTCGTAACATATATATAGGTACTATAACTGCTGCTCGTAGATATCGACAATCGTTTAGCCCGCAGGATTCGTTAGTAAGTGGTTAGTAAATCTATTGATGGATGGATACGTATTTGCAAGTATTATGTTGGCTAATAGTTAAATATTACTTTAACGAAGTTTATTTATTTTATCCTTCAGTTTTAATTGTTATCGAGTCATTTATCATTTTAAACTTCACCACATTACCACGATAGAACTCGTGCCTGTATAATTAGCATACTGCATATAATTTGTTGATATTTTTATTCCCACGCATTAACAATATACTTATCATAATACTTTTATATGCCAATTTTTCGACGAATAAAGCACACACATAATAAGATATAGGTAGTATAAATGCATAAGCATATACGAACATAATACATAATACGAATATATCATTTTTACATTATTTCCCAAGACCTTGAATGTACGAGAAGATCATTGCTTTTACTATAATACAAACATTACTATACAATTGACGATAATTACTCGACAGATGGTACAATTTTTTTTTCGTTCATTTACAATTATCAAAATTGTCTCATTATTTATTTGAACCGAATTTCTACTATACGTATTATATTAATTTACTATGGTATATAGGTTGTATATATATATACATATTACACGCTATTGTCTACTTATAATGAAAATCAAATTAATTTATTAGTTGACCATAAACAAGTGTATGCTCTAATTGTATTTTTTTTTATTATTCGCCAATAAAAATTAATATCTGTGAAGTAGGGTGGTCAGCATGATTTTATTAAATTGCAGACTTGGTGGCTCATTTTACCAAAATGCTGATTAACAAGTAGAAAAATTTGTATATAAATACCCGTATCGTACACGTCTCATTTTTCTGTTTTATAACAAGTCAACAGCTTTATAAAGACTTATTTATGATATATATATATATATGATTTGCTGACTTGGGAATAGCTAAACTCTATACTGTACATACGTTGCATGCCCTCTCTCCAAATTACACCACTGTGCTCTATAGAAGCATGTTATTTTCCAACGGATTTTTCATATGACCTTTTAACAACCACAAATACAATCTCCACGAATAACGACTATTATTTGTCGTGGACATTTATTTAATTACTTATTTATACCGATCATATGATCGTAATCACAATTGATTTAAACTTATACTTTACTTTTCATGATATACACGATTTCATTTTATTATTTTTATTTGTTTCCGGACTGGCTAAAAAATGTAAATTTCTTTTTTAAATAAAAAATAATGTGTGCCCAACAAATTTGAAGAAATATTCAACAATATCCAACAAGTCTATTTAAATATTGTTGACATATAATTAGAAAACAGACGTTAGAAATTGTACACTTAGAAAAAAGTATATTTTGTATGTTATGGCGTGCATAATGAATATTATTATGTAATTGATCAATAAAAACTTATTTCATAATAGCCATAGGTAGTAAGAAAATCAAAACATAAGTATACGCATTACAACCAGTAAACAACTAAACAAATAATTAGGTAATTTGCAATAAATATGAAAAAACCATTTAAATATTGGTTATCAATTTATGATTTTTAAATCTACTTATTAATTTGATATATTTACACTTATTGTTTTTGATTTGTCGATTTAGTGGTTTGTTTATTAGAAATTATAATTTATTAAATTTTATAATTGTATTTATTTACTTATTTTTAATCATAAAAATAAATAGTCAACTATATAATATACCGAGGAATAAACTATTGATCTTAAAACCTTTGTGCAGTTGAAGTAACTGAAAATAAATGGATAACTTATGGTAGATTATTATTTTATCAGCCTATACTGTATAAAAAATACTATAATTGTATGTAAATTAATTATTTGGATTAAATTTTACCTAAATAACCAAAATTGAAACTACTAAATAAATACATTGTTGAGGAGAATATATAGGTAGGCTCAACAGTAATTATGTACTGTATTGGTACGTTAATAATTATATTTTTTACCCACAGAGATAGAAAAAAGAACAACACAAAATAATTTATGATTGTTATATTAAAAAATATTTTTTTCGATTCGTCCCTGGTAGGGTGTTGTCAATTTTTCTCTCTACTAGACCTTCTTGTGTGTATTTAAATTGTGAAAATAATACGAAAAAACGTATAACCTCGGAATTTTCCCACGGCCCGTATTTTCAAGAAGGTTATTCGCTAATATCGTATAATGAAATAATTATTTCACATGTATGTATAATATATGAAGACGTTGTCACTTATATTGTTTTTTTTTATTTTCATACACGTATTGTTGTCCGTCTTACTTACGATTTGAGAAAACTTGAAACTGGCCCAGCAATCGCAAACGGACATGTTTTGACCTTGGATATAGGTAAAACCAAACTCATTTCATCACAACCTGTAATTTTATAAATACATTTTATTAAATAAAAAAAAACTGTAATTAGTAAAGTTGACGTAATTGTCGACAAATAATGGATATTGTAAAATGTAATCTATTTTGTCATTGGTTATTATAATATGTTGAAAACGCATTGTAACGAAACTAGATATTCAAAATAAATGTTCGCGTCACTCAATTAGGATTTAGGATACAAACTACGTAGAGATACACCTAACTCATTATTTATTGTTCGATTAAAATAAATACAACTTCCTATAGGAAGTTATATTTAATCATTTATAATACTGAAGGGTTCGTAAAAATATTTTTTTGTCATATTAATGTACACAAAATTTTTAAGAAAACCATCATTATATTTTACAAATTAGTGTTATTCGTATATTCGAAATTTTTTTTTTTTACGCGTTCATAAGAAACTTTATTATAAACAAACATCCGTGATACTCGTATCTATGATGTACTTACATGTAGTTAATAATATTGTGACGTCAATTGTTTTTATAAAAAATGTAAAAGAATTCTTAATTCACTGTATTTTCTAACAAAAAATATCACAAAAACATATAAATTCAAAGTATACAAATACTATGCATATAAATAAATTTTTCATAATTCATAATGTATTAATAGAAAAGTACAAGATCAATTAAATAATAATGTATTATATTATGCATACAAGTAAAATACTTAAGTTATACATTAATTATCCTATGTAATGTATCCTATAAATTATTTAATTAAATTTAAAACTACATCTATAATCATGTTTATACTATACAATATTTATTACCTTTTAAGGAATTCATTAATTTAATCTAATGCCAAAAACTTTGGTCTAAAATTTATTATTTTTTAGGGGTACATTGGTCTGTAAGCCATTGAATAAATTTAAAAATATATGGGATTTTTATTGATACACGTAGTGTGTGAAGAAGCATAGCTATGTATGGTCATCCATCCAGGTGCTATATTATCATTGGTTTAACTGCCAAAATACAATTTCTGCTGTTTACTGAGCTCCAACATTTGTTGCTATCATTAATTATTATCTTTCCGATTGATTTGCTATTATTGAAATATATCATGAAAATGATAAATAGATTTATTTTAACAAACAACACTAATTTTCCGTAAAATTTATTTTTATGTATTCCAAATTCAACTGTGAAATACGCTATAATACCTTATATCATAAAATAAATAAATTTTCATCAGGGTTTAAGTTTTTAAAACGTGAAAACAATATTTTAAATTTGATATTTCGGAGGAGAATATTTTTTAGCATTTCTACTGAAAATGCTGTTCCATTAACTTTGAACGTCGAGTCAAAAGTTAAATATTTATAATAATTTAAAATTTAAACAAGTGGAAATTAATTGCAGGCATATCAATAGTAAAACATTTTATAGTAATAACAGCCTATCTAAAATTTACTTGTACAAATACTTATCTTTAAATTTTATTTTCAATTTTTATACAGCGATAATTTTCTATTTTCCTAAAATTTAAAATTAATTACTATTTAAGAAAATTAAAAATAACAAAAATAAATTTTTCAATAACTAATAAATTAATTGAGGTAAAAAGCGTTTCTGGTAAAAAAAATCATATATTTTTCGTATTAAATTAATATATTTACATAATTATAATTGTTTATTCTGTTTGTACCGCTATGTGTTAAAGATTGTAAATAAGCGGTTGTATTTTAGTAATAAAAAAATCATTGTTCACTTATCTATTTTCAAAATTTCCGTAACTGAGTGAAAGCTATAGGTAATAAGTATACGTATTTTATGTAGTTGTAAAATAAAGTATATTTTCAGTGTCCTTAATTCTCCTACAACATAAAATGTATAATTTGTACAAGAACACTTCTCGTTAGCCTGGAATGTACGATAATATTAGGCAAGTAAATATTATTACGGTAAATGCGCTGTATCGTTATTATTTTAATTGTTTACTAAACGTCTTATTCGTATAAAAAACGTGTTAATCTCTATATTCTACTTCTGTAACACCATATTGAACTTACTTACATACGAGTACGTATTTATTTACGTGTTCATTATCACTCATCACGTACCTTTTCGAAAATATGATTTTTGAGTATTTAACGAAAAATATCAAATTTTTCAAATTAAAAAAAGGAATTTTTTATTGTTGGTTATTAAATTTACATTTAATTCCATTACATTTAGGTGAAACAATTACTATTAAGTGTCTATATAAATATTCAGAAATCTTTAAAATATAGGTACGTACTCAAACGGTTCACGTTGAAACCCGAATCATAACTTTATTTGATGATAGATTATGCGAATAAAACGTGATATATCTTGGATTTATGTTTATTATTAAAATAAATATAGTTTCTAATCAACTATCGTATCGTATATATATTATTTATTAAATAAATAATATCTATATATCAAGGCATTCGTAACTCATCGTAAATCGTTATAAACTGACATTTTATGTCAATTCAAAGCACGTATAAATTTTTAATGGACAAGGTATAATTTTTATTCATATGAATCTATATACGATCTATAAATTATTCTTTAAACTTAAATTGAATTACTTTCGAATCTGTATAAGATTTTAATCGGTTAAAGCACACATCTGACCGATTATGACGCATTTGACGACTTTTTACAAATTGACCACATCAGATGATATACACTGTATATCATGTTTGTATGGCTTTATATTATACAGCCATACAACCATACAAACAAGGTGAACATTGAGAACTTAGTACTTACTGATCATATCTGTAGTGTTAACTTATAGTAATAGCTATTATTATGTTACGATTTTCGGAATATTTCTCTAGCGATTCAATAAAACGCGTCGTAAAATCGGATTCGTCAGTCGTAGCAGACACCGGACGTAAACGTAAAATATTAAATATTAAAATAATATAGATATAAGTGACAATGCGTGTAAATTACAAACAATAACGCATGTATACACTATTCAATTTCACGCGGAACGTATAAAATCTCTTTTAAAATGATTTGCTACTATGATCAGTAAAATAAGTATGCCGGTATATTTTATGTACGACGCGGGAAATTGTATATTCGCAGGCTACTCTAAGTAATTTTATATGCGATATCCATATTAAATTGATGGATATTTCTGTACAGAAAATTTGTAACGAATACCTTCATACGCGGCAAACATCGCAGTGTATCATGATTTAAATAATATCTGTGGTTGAAAGCAATAGCGTCGCGTGCGACAACTTTCAAAAGTCGAACGATTATGTAAACACGTGTGCGGTTCACAGATTGCATCACTGTGGATCGCGAAATGTGAACAGATATCGCTAAAAACAGCCGTAAATTTTGAAATATCCGGCCGGCATAAAAGAAAAAGGAAAAATATAAAATACGAAACCGGAAAAAAAAGAAATGAATAAAAAAAAATGCATAACACTCACTCACCAACTGCACTGTTCACGTCGATCACGATTGTTGGGCACGCTTTTTTCGTATCGAATACGCATCGAATGTTTTCTGGTTCGAAATCTCACCCCACGTCCGACGTATGGATACAATATTACTACGAAATGTTAATATACCGTTAAATACAACATTACATTAAATAATTAAATAAAACAAAATATTTATTTATGTATTATATTCAAATCACGGAGACGTTTTATTCGCGACGGATAGGGCACCGACTTTGGACGAGTCCGTGTTCTAAAGTTAACACTATATTAAACGTAAGCAAAACGGGTCGGTGTGTGTTTGTTGGCTAAGGTGGCGGTGTGCATACGATGTACGGCACGCGACTATGTATCCACTCCGGTGCGGCGCGTCTGCATGCGTGACGTGATGACGCGATATACATGAAGTTGGTCCCCCTCCTTCGTCCTATCGGTTTCAAATAAATTCAAAACAATTGTAAGTTAATTATAGTTTTAAATGCAATTTTGGAATTCTTAAGTCCCCAGGGAACTCGGAGAATCAAAAACAAAATTGGGGAACCAACTACACATAGTCCCCCACCACTTCTACCTGTCTGTTTGAAACTAATTTCAAACAATTGTGAATTAATTGTAAATAAGTTCTTGCTTTAATGTAAAAATGTATGTATCACATTGATATTTATGTAATTATGTACATGTATATTATTTTCAATATATTTATAGACTAAACATGATTTTCTGATATTTGTAAAACGATTGAGTAACTTTTATATCGGAGGCAAAACAATGCAAGATTAAGACCCTCCCTACGTATAGATCAATATAATTTTGGTAGAGTACAGCAGTTCAAGTACCTGGGAACGATACTAACAGAAAATTATAACGCAGCAAAGGAAATAGATGCGAAAATACAGGCTGGAAACAAATGCTTTTTCGGATAGTAAAACTATTAAGAGCTCGAAAAACTTAAAAAAACAATTATATACTAACTTGATAAGATCAGTTGTTAAATACGAAGCAGAGACGTGGGTAATTTAAGTTAGCTCCCTTATAATTCGATCCGATATCTGTGACCTATATTATATTATCGACAACACCTCTTTGTGAAAGTCCGCTGCACATTCGTTATGTATTTCGACTATGCCGAGCTTAAGATAATACCATCGCTGTGCGATTATGCTTACACCAAGGCGTCAACGTGTCCCCTTTTCGCAACACAATAAGGACTAAATATACAGGAAGTTTAACGAATATTTGAATTTTTTCAATGTAATCAGAATGTAATCCGCCAGTACGTATTCGACCTCCAACTGAACAACACGTGTATAACTCTAGCCCAGTCTTGTAAAAAATACTTTTGAAAAAGTATTAAGATACTAGTATTCGAATAAAAAAGTATTAAAAATACTTTTAAAATACTATTATAAAAATGTATTTTACGAATACTCATAAAGTATTTGAATACAAATACAAGTATTTTTTTTAATTTTATGTTATATAATATATTTTTAGTGGTCGAAATGGCTCAAGATATGTAAAGAACAGATGCCTTACAATTCAGATTTCCCATCATAACATTTTTCACACCTTGTGTACCTTAAATATTTTTTTTTTTTTTTATAGTTCACATAAGGTATATTATCTTAGTCCGTGGCTCTAAACACGGGTATAATACGGTTTATGAAACAGCTTATAGTAAACAACATGATAAGCCCGGCGCCCTGGCCTGAATGTTAAAAACAATTATTTTCACAGAAAAAAAAATAATTTCTTATATATAAATATAAAAATGATAATCAGTATATCATTTTAAAATACAAGTCTTAGAAGAAATGCGTTATTCTAGACAAAAAAAGTAGAGGGATAAAAACTTTAAATACACAAAAGTAGAGGGATGTCATTCCTCCGTATCCCCTAACCCACTTCGAGCACTGTATATATGTATATTGTACACCAGTATAGGTACCTATTATGTTACTACTTTCCATAGGTTTTAACAATTACTATGACATGTCTGACTATTTAGAGATAAATACATTTTCACATATTTCATTCTGTATTCAAATATATTTCAACTAATATTGATTAAATTTTAATGAAAAAAATAAAATAAAAAGTGGTAGGTATTAATTTACTATTAATATGGAACTATTTTAAAATTATTAGATTTTCAGTTTTCTTAAAAAATTCCAATACAGTAACTATATAAAATTAAATGTGGTATTTAGTGTATTAACATTTTTATTACCTACTTTTACTATACAAAAACATAATATTAGTTTTCAACGAAAACAATATTAATTTTATTGATGTAAATTGTTTTTGAAAAATAATAAATTTAAATTAATAAAACGGTCTTTATAGTATTTTAATACAAATATTTAAATTTTGGTAAAAATACAATTAAAAAATATTCAAAATACTTAAAAAATACATAAAAAAATTGTAGAATACCACATAAACATTTCAAAAAGTATTCAAATACTTGTATTCGAATACTTTACAAGACTGCTCTAGCCATCATTCGCATTTATAGCTCCCGATAGCACTCCGTTAATTACGCCGGTGACCAGCGTGCAGGTAATAAGATAATATTATTATTATCTAATGTGGAACATACGTCATAGGTGACTAATATAAAAAAGCAAACCGCCTTTTATAAAAACTTCAAATAGAAATAACACCACCACCTCTTAAATTACTCTTAAATACATTCCCATTCGCAACATATTAAGATATCCAAACAGAAATTTAAAATTAAATAAGTCAAACTTTAATATTACTGTAGATAAGATAGACCTTTTCATCTCAATCACCCACCACTACTACCTCTACCACCAGCAATAGGAAAACTGACCTCTCCACGAGATATAATATTCACGTCAAGGATATCAAACAACCGTTTCTGTATATTTCTCTCAAGTCTTCAAAACACTTTTAGAAAAATTCAAAGTAGTATCAATAAACGGACACACAATTCCTATTCGCAGACTAATTAACCCAGCAAAAAAAAAAAAATCACAATATCAAACGTGTGTCTATCCATACCTAATCAAGTAATTCTCAATGCATTAAAAAACATTGACGTGATCCCTGTATCACAATTAAACCACATAAAAATTGTAATTAACATCGAGTGATATGAACATATCTTGAGCTTCCGCCGTCAAATGTTTATAATTCAGGAAGACTTCATTAAATTACCCGGATCGTTAGTTATCAACTTAAATCAAACCCCGTTTAGAATTTTATTTACCGTTGACAAAATTACATGTTTCTAATGCAAAACTATAGGACATACTTCTGCGTCATGTAAAAAACAAACTCTACCAACCATCACGTCGAATACTCAGATCCTCAAAACTTTCTAACTACACACAATCCAACTAAATCCAATGAAGATCTTACCACAGAACTTCTAGAATATATCCTGCCTCTCTAACTCACCCTAATAAACACAACTCCACCTCAAAATATCACGGATTGGAACGTGGAAAATTAACAAATAATTTTATCTCATTCCACAACAAACAATAAAACAACCCCAGGACCATTAAAAACACCAACCAACACACAATTCAAAATACCTCTATCGGATACAAACACACCAAAATCTTTCATCTCTCTCACATCATCAAACAGTCATATGGCTACCAATTAGCCTGACAAGAAAAAAGTAAAAACCCACTTTAAATCCAACTCACTCTCCTCCATGGAGGACAGCCGAATCGACGCCATGCTTAAGCCAACAGTTACCTTCTTTGCTGATACCAAGTACATCTCAATTTCACTGGTCCACTTTAAATACTATTTAAAAAAATTCAGAAACAGATATCTCTATTTAAAATCATTAAAAATCTTATCCATGAAAAAGATACACGTCATTAAAGTAAACATGTGTTTACGATTTGCATGACATATCGAATACACGTTTCTTAAATCCATTGGTGTGTATTGTGCTGGACTTTAAAACTACAGATATTATATTCAACAAATTATAAGTACGATAAAAATAAATACGAAAGTATTAATATATTATATCTCATTTGGAGATTGCACATTTAAAATAACAACATTTCAACAAAATTTCCAACCCACTTGTCTTCTGCGTTTATTCATGTACGTTTACAACTCAGAAGCGTTCAAGTCTTTCTAATTTTAAAATTACAAGTAGTTAATTCTGTTGAAATCGTACACGTTTACGTGTTAAAAATCTAATATTACACCATCTAATTTGTTAGATTACTTTAACATTGAACTACCTATAAATGTACTGCGAAATAGCAATAAACATCGTATATGCGCAGTGTAGTGTAAGATGTGTTTGTAAATACATCATTATATATATTATGTTATTACACAAACATCTTATAAAAATTTAAAATAAATAAAATTAAACAAATGTAACTTTATTAGATTGATTAACATGTCACTGTGGTCCTATAAAATACAACAGTAGTATTTTTAATTTTAATTAGTAAATCTAAATCAGAAAACAATTTAAGTGTAAATAATATACATATTGTAATATATTGTTAAATACATAAACATATATAGGTACAGCTCAAATAGAAATATCGAATCAAACCATATATATATTATCATACGCAGTATAATATACAAGGAAAAATATTTGAACTTATTCAAAGTTTATGTAAGAATAATTTTAAATTTGTAAAACATAGAATACAATATTATTTAAAATTATATTATCAGAATCTAGTCATAAAGATCGAATATACGCTTGGGATACTGAAAGCTCTAAAGGTATGAAAAAAGCTAAATAATTATCTTTGGCATTTTATAAATCAATTTACAGAATCATTCCGGTGGAAAAGAAATATCAATGTAAAAGAACAACGATTTATATTAAAAATATATAATATAATAATATAGAATAATTTAAAGGAGCAAACAGGAGAATTGTAAAAGAAAAAAAAACATGAACAGGAAAACAGTTAATAATGCGAACCATAGCGATTTCGATATTACTTTTTTCAATTAAGATCGTTTTTATGTACATTTGGACAATTTTAATTGAACTTGAAACGGAAATAATCTGCACATTTATACCATTTTAAATTTAATCTTACGAGTATATCACGTTATATTAAGTTAAAAAATACACGAAACGTTTGAGGTAACATTTTACAGCGTATAATTTTAGTTATTTACTACTCACGTGCCACGAAAATAATGCATTCACTTCAGATTTCCATTTGATATTTTTCATTTCATTCTCAAGTCGAAATGCAATTTTACATCGGCAAACTGCGTTGCTGTGTGTACATTGTATAGTATTTGACAATGAACGGTAATGATTATATGCAACTTTTCCTGTCTGATTACTATCAACAACAAAACTATATTAGAGGTACAT